ATGTGATCTTGTAAGCTGCTGGGACTTCATATTATTGAACATGTATAGCTTAAATTGTTTGGATTCTTGGAAATGTTGAATATTTAAGCTGCTCCAAGTCTGTGCATTCTAATCTGTTTGTCTTCCATTACTGGAGACAAATGTACAATGCAGCTTTAGACCATGGCTTTTGTAGCTAAAAAGGGGAGAAACTCTTGTAATATACCAAAAACTTAAAACTTTTGTATTTCTGATTATCTATTCACCATTTTTTTTATTTTTTTTTGAAAGATATGCAGAGAATTTGTAGAATTTTTACTTTTACCAAGTTGTAATTTCTGATTATCACTGATATATGTAAGGAGTGCAAATTGTTTATGTCCTGTGCGGTTGAATAAAAATTTAGATAATTCACTTCATAAGCACATGACGGAGAAGTGCAGTATATAATTTCGCATTTTGCAAGTTGGGAGGGTGGAGACATGGTATTGGTATTGTGTACCTGAAATGCAAAATTTTCATTGTTATTGACATCTACATGTGTAGGTGGTGGTAGTTGATGTGCGCAATAACTATGAAACCAGAATAGGAAAGTTTAAGGGAGCAGTTGATCCTTGTACTACATCATTTCGTGAATTCCCATCTTGGGTGGAGGAACATTTCCAGCTTACAAAAAAAGATGTTGAGCAACCAAAAGTTGAGGTAAACAATTCAGTCCAAAGTGCTGAAAAAGAGATAGAGAATCCAAAACAACATATGCCTCAACGTGTTGCAATGTATTGCACTGGAGGTATTCGATGTGAGAAAGCATCAAGTCTACTTCTCAGCAAAGGATTCAAAGAGGTGATTCTCCCCTTAAATTTTATTTCGTTTTGCACAAACAAAAATTTCTTTGAGAAAATCATTTGACCTTTTCTTCTTTTTATCAAAGAGAAAAGACATTATTTTTTTTACTAATTCTTGGTCATGATATGTTAATATCCCAACGACATTTCTGGTTTGGAACTTGATGCCAATACCAAGACCTATCTAAATGAAAGAATCCTTTTTTTTTATTTATCTTAGAAGTCTTGTCAGATGTACTGATAATACTAATAAATTTTAGTCCCTTTCATATAGTAAGCTTCTGCAGTTCCAGATAATATTGGGACAGAAGCAATTTGGCAGATCTTAGAATTATGGCCAAAACAAAATCTGTTTTCTAACAATACATTATTTTAATAACGAAACCACTTTAAATAATTTTGATCCACCCATATATGTTTCTGGTATTGCCTCTCATATCATTTGTACTTAAAACTAAAAAAAAAAAAAAAAATTGCTTAAAGAAGGGGTAAGTGCCTCCCATGTATCCACACTAGTCTCCTGGCCCATTATTTTCTTGGCACGGATAAGGCATTATGATGAGGTTGTGTGTAAAGCTGAGACTGTCATGAGGTACGGGAGCTTATCAAAGATTCGAACTCCAGATTTCATGAATACAAAGCTTTGACCCCGGACATTAGATCCTTAGTAGGGGAATCTCTCTGCTGACATTCTTCAGAAATTGGGTTCAAGACTGAGTGAGGCTTTGGTCACACGAAAGCAACCATAGTGTTATATTCCTAGGTGCTAGTTTGTTTTGCTGTTTGCTAGTCTTTTGTTAAACCACTGTTTTTTTTTTTTTTTTTTTAATGTGCTATTTGATAAACAAGTTAGTAGTAATATTTCAGCTGGCATGAATATATAAGTGCTAGTTGCAGTTAACAGTTTTTTTCTGGCATTTGATACGATTTTGTCGCGTTTCTCTTTTAAAACTTCCCAGGTTTATCACCTGGAAGGTGGGATTCTGAAATATCTTGAGGAGGTTCCAGGGACAGAGCCTATGGGAGGGAGAGTGCTTTGTTTTTGACAAGCGAGTCTCTGTGGAGCATGGTTTGGTGCAAGGAAATTTCAAGCTCTGCTATGGTTGTAAGCAGCCTGTGAGTGATGCTGACATGCAAGCCCCAGAATATGAATATGGAGTCCCTTGTCCTCACTGTTTTTCACTGAAATCAGATGAAGAGAAAGAGAGAGCTCGTGCTCGACAAAGACAATTTGAGAGATGGGGAATCATAGGTGGTCCTGATAAGGGTCGCAGGCCAACATGTGACTCAGATAGTGCTAGCCTGAAACCAATCAAGCTTTCACATTCTGTTTAACTAGCCAGACAATGAAAAATGACAAATATCTTTCATATCTGTTTCCAACAAATGTTTGGCCTTCTCTTACTCTTGCTCCCCTCTTAAAATGTGTTCAGAATGCATGAAACTATAGATATTCCTTTAACTTCTATGATTTCTTGTCATAGGAACCATGTGGTGTCTCTACTGTCTAGTCTCCTCATCTCTTGCTGACGTTCCATGAGTTTTGTAGCCAATTTGTCCAATCCAAACTACTCATTTTGTTAAACAGACTCGGTATGAATGAAAATAGTTATCTATCAGAATTTCGCTCTTTTCTTAAGGTTATTAAGCTAATCCTTAATGTAAAATTTCTGTTCATTATTTATAGTTATTTTGGTATATCTCTAGATAGAAAATTTATATATAAAAAATTCATTTCCTAATTTCTCACCTCTGTTTTTAAAGGACATAGTAAACTTATTCCTCATGCAAAAATTATATGCTTTTAAAATTTAGATGGTATGCCTTGATAATTTAATGCCATTTAGAAAAAATTGTATTGAAAATTAATCATTTTCATCCTGTGTGAAATATAGTGCTTTGGGATGGCATTGGTGCACATGGGAAAGAAAATATATTAAATCATTTTAGAATTTGTTTTATGGGAAATATTACTTTATTTTTATAGGAGATAATTATCTTATCTTATAAAGAGAAGATAGATGAATTTTACCAAGAAAGGAAACAAGGAGAAGGGTTATTTACCATGAAAGAGAATAATAAAAAGGGTAATACTTTTCTTAGATTAAATAGGAGAGAAAAAAGAGTTGAATGTGAGAGAAAAAAATTCATGTGGGACCCATTTAAAAAATGTGAGTCTAAGAGCATAAAAGTATGGCAGGGAAAGAACTCTCAGGGGTGTTTGGTTGAGGAGAAATTTTTTGAATACTAGGGAAATGTAATTACTAGGGAAATGGTTGGAAAAGGAGTTTGGTAGGAAAATGTAAAAAAAGTTGTTTGGTTGACCGAAATATTACCAGGAAAATTTATTTAAATTTGCAAAATCTATGTTCGGGAGAAACTTCGCATCTGTTTTTTCACTTCCCCAGTTATCTCAAAATACCACATCTCAAGTGGTATTCTGTAACAGTGAATTTTATCCAAAAATCAACACAAGTCATTTCCCCATCTATCTCATTTGCCTAGTATTTTTTTGAAAAAACCTGAACCAAATGTAGTATTCTCCAATATCCACTTACACTTTCCCATCAATCCCAAAATAATCCTTCAACCAAACACTACCTCAAGAAAGTTCATTTGCATGGCTATCGATGTCATTGCATCTTTGTTGTGATTCGACGTGTAATCTTCTTCCAAAATTAAGAATTAATCAAAATTATTAAAACTATCTCGTGAGAGCACAAAAACATAAAAAATAGAGCAGGATTATAGTTATAACTTTTTTCTTTTATAATCTCTTACAATCATATTTTATCACCGTTGATTTACGCCAATCAATGATTATCATTTTAACAAATTAAACTCATTAATTAATTATTAATTCATAATAAATGATAACCGTTGATTGACGAAAATCAATGGTGATAAGTTATGGTTGTAAAAAGTTGTAAAAGAAAAAAGTTGTAAGTATAACCTTCCTCAAAAAAATAATATCAAAGTTAAAATAAAATAAAAAAAAATTCAAAAGAAAAAATAATTCAAATTCTTGGAACTAAAGGTTATATATTCAAAATGGACAAAAATCCAACATTAAAAAATATGAACTGATAAAGGAAAAATATTCTCGAATACATCTAATATCGACGTTTCCTACACTAGAGAGTTGATGTTATTGATAAGGATTATTTCGCAAGGTCAGTTTTGTAAGATTTATTCTATTAACAAATCCACCCATAAGACATCTTCATACTTGTATCTATAATGTTCATATCTAACATCACCATATAAGTAACAATGCTAGACTAATTGAACTGACCAATACCCTTATCTTGACACTAGATTAAGAAATAAATTTACTGAATAATCAAATAATGTATTGAGTTGTCATCATCAATGTTGTTAAAATCGAGATCTTAAGTAAAATCGGAAAGGAATTAAAAAATCGTAAAACGTAAAATCGTAATGTAAAAAAATCGTAAAAAATCATAAAAACGTAAAAGCGTTTGGAATATTAGTAAAATCGTTTTGATGGAAAAAAAATTGTAAAAACGTAAAATCGTAGTGATAAATCGAGATTTTAACAACAATGCTCATGATCATAATTTCCATCGTTGATCTCAGTGGCTCCGCCATTTGTTATTTAGGTGGTGCCTTGACACTAGCTCATTTTTAAAAATAGTATAAATTTTCTTTAAAAATTATGATATAATCTTAGCATTGATTGAGTTTTTAAAAATAATATAATCTTGGCACTGACTGAATTTTACCTGGTTGGATTTTTTGACACCAGCTAAGTACTTCTAGCTCGCCACTGATCGATCTTCAATAACATAACTCGTATAAAATTCATTTAAGAAGTAAAATTATATGATATAACATATTAAACCCATTATTGTGCCGTTCTTCACCTAACTAATCGTCACTTTTTAGTCGCAGATCCGTAGACGGCGCGCCGTAGATTTGACGGCCCAGCTGAATAATAACATTTTTTTTTTGTCACTTGAGTGAATTAGTGTTTTTATATGAAACTATAATCACAAATTTTAATGTGATACGATGAGGGTTAGAAGGTTGAAGAGTGCACCCTTGTGGGTTAAGGATTTTAGCACTAAGTAACCAGACCATGGTTACTGTTAATAGCATGTAAAATAGGAGGTTAGTTGAATAAGTGATGGGTTGGTTAGTTAGTTAGATGAGATGGCAAATTCTGTTAGAAGTAAGTGTTTGTATATAAACACTACACATGTACAAACGTGGCATTCATTGGAATATACAAAAGTTGTTCTGTTTTTGTGCTTTTCTGTTCTTAAGGGTTCTGCACCCTTAACATTGGTGCTTTCAACTTCTTGATACTCAGTGGCAACATGCGGCTTCAGGAGGTGGCGGAGGAGTTAGGATCCTTCCAATTGCGGGTTGATCGAACTTTAGAGGAGATTCAACAAAAGTTCACCGATCATCAAAACCAATTTCAGACCATTAATACTCAGATTCAACAGATGCATGCGGTGATTGTTGGAGGAGATATTCGAACGGGGGAGCATGCACAACCGCGAGTTACTCCAGGAACTTCGAGTAATGACAACAATGGAGTAGTGCATTCCAGGTATGATCCGAATGACCCACGTAACATCATGAAATCCATCAAGATCGAACTACCTTCCTTTATGGGTACAGATCCTGTTAGTTGGATTTTTAGAACTGAGATGTATTTTGGATTACATCAAATTCCTGAATCCCTTAAGGTTCGTTTGGCTGGAATGAAAATGGAAGGAATGGCTGGACCATGGTTTCAATGGCTTTTTAGTGGTGGTTCCATTCAATCGTGGGAGGAATTGAAGAGTGCTGTGAAGCATCGATTTGGAGGCATAGCTTATACTGACTTGCGTGGGGTTTTGTCCAAGCTCACTCAAGTGGGAACCCTTAGTGAATACATTCGGGACTTTGAAGCTTTGATCAATCAAGTAACAGATTTTTCTGATGAGGTTTTAATGTCTTTTTTTGTTTCTGGTTTATTTCCAGACTTAAAAAGGGGCATTCAACTTCATAAACCAACCTCTCTTCACCAAGCAATGCAGTTAGCTATGACTTATGAGGCTCATTTTGCTGAATTAAGAGGCTCATTTTCATCCTATAATAAGAAGTTTACTCCCAAACCTATATCTATCGTGGAGCAGTGCAATGCTACTATTCCTCAGGTGAAGCCAATGGTATCCACTTTACCAGCCTTGCCTTCTAATGTGCCTGTTAAGAAAGTGTCACAAGAATATTTACAAAAAAGAAGGGATATGGGACTTTGCTACACATGTGATGAGAAATGGAATTCTAAACATCGTTGCAAGGCTAGGATGATGATGTTGGTGGGAGATTTTGATGAGGCTGAAACAGAATTGGAGGAACAGATTGTCTGGCAACCTGACCAAGGTCCACAAGAGATTCTGGATGCAGCCCTCCATTCCATGGGCAGTGATTTGAATCCCAGGGCTTTGCAATTCCACATTTCTATTGGCTCAAGGTTAGTCACCATCCTTATTGATTCAGGCAGTACGCATAATTTTGTGCAAAAGAATATTGCTGAGGAATTAGGCTTGCCAATGATCAAGGTTCCTAGGATGCGGGTTTTTTTGGGCAATGGAGAATTTCTAACTTGTGAGAGGAAGTGTCCATCTATTTCTCTTAATATACAGGGACAGGTATTTGTAGTTGATTTGTGGGTAATTGAGCTAACCCAATTGGGAATTGTATTGGGAATTTGTTGGCTGAGTTCCTTGGGCAGGGTGATCCATGATTATAGTGAGATGTCCATGGAATTTGTTTGGAATCACAAACGAATCATATTAGTGGGAGAAAACAAGAATGAGGATTCCAAGAGTCGGGAGGGGATATGTAATGCATTAACAGCAGCTGTTGTTTCCGCTGATTCCTCAGCACATCAATTGCCTGAGCTTCTTTTACTACAGGATCAAGTACCCTCTGCTGTTTGGCACGTTTTGATGCAATACCAATCTGTATTCCAATTGCCACAGGGCCTCCCTCCTTCAAGAGCTTGTGATCATGCAATTCACCTTGTTGAAGGAGCAAAACTGTTAGTGTGAAGCCTTATAGGTATGCACATCACCAAAAGAATGAGATTGAGAAACAAGTAGCAGAACTTTTAGCTACAGGTTTTATTAAGACCAGTCACAGTCCATTCTCTTCTCCTGTGTTATTGGTGAGAAAACAAGACCATTCTTGGAGGATGTGCATTGATTATAGAGCATTGAATCACATCACCATCAAAGATCGTTTTCCAATTCCCACCATTGATGAGCTATTAGATGAGTTGAAGGGTGCTGAATTTTTTTCAAAACTGGACTTGAGGAGTGGTTACCACCAAATTCGGTTGGTTCCTCATGACACACCCAAGACTGCGTTTCGAACTCATGAAGGGCATTATGAGTTTTTGGTGCTGCCTTTTGGGCTAACTAATGCACCCTCAACCTTTCAAAGTGCTATGAATCAAATGTTCAAACCTTATTTGAGGAAGTTCATCATTGTCTTCTTTGATGACATTTTGATTTATAGTGCTTCTTTTGGAGACCATTTGGAGCATTTACAATTGACGCTTGAATGCTTGAAGCAGAATCAGTTTGTGGTTAAATTGAGCAAGTGTGGTTTTGCATTATCAGAAATTGATTATTTAGGCCATATTGTTTCAAAGGGAGGGGTGAAGGCAGATCCAAGGAAAATTGAGGTAATGCTACTTTGGCCTCAACCAAAGATTGTCAAGCAATTAAGAGGTTTCATTGGCCTTACCGGATACTATAGGAGATTTATAAGGCAATATGCAGCCTTAGCAGCTCCTTTGACTGATCTGTTGAGGGCTGACTCTTTTTCTTGGAATGAAGGAGCTTCTACAGCATTCATAGCTTTGAAGGAGGCCATGTCTTCAACCCCAGTTTTGGCTCTTCCTGATTTTTCTTTACCATTTATCATTGAAACAGATGCTTCATCAATTGGAGTTGGGGCTGTGTTGTTACAACAAAAGCATCCAATTGCGTTCTTTAGTAAAAAGTTGGGGGTGAGAATGCAGTTGGCATCCACTTATGTAAGGGAACTATATGCTTTGACAGAAGCTGTTAAAAAATGGAGACACTACTTGCTAGGGTCCAAGTTTGTTATTAGAACTGATCATCGAAGTCTCAAGGAACTATTGACTCAAACAATTCAAACACTTGAGCAGCAGAAATATGTGTGCAAATTGATGGGGTATGATTTCACCATAGAATATAAATCTGGAGCTTCCAACACTGTTGCAGATTCCTTATCCAGAAGGGATGAAGGGGAGGAAATTACAGGTACCTTTTTTTCTTTAATCTCTCAAGTGAGTTTTGATATTGTCAAGCAAATTAGGGAAGAGAATATTTCTGATACGGAACTATTGGCATTGCATCTGAGAATTACAAATGGGGACCACACTGATCCTCACATTACAGTGAAGGATGGACTTTTGTTTCATCAAAATAGATTTTTACTGAGTTCCAAATCCAAGTCGAGTCAGGATTTGATTAATGAGGCCCATGCAACTCCTCTTGGGGGCCATGCTGGCATTACCAGGACCTTGCTTAGGCTATCTGCATCATTTTATTGGCCAAACATGAGGAAGGATGTCACCACTTTTGTTAAGCAGTGCTCAGTTTGCCAGTTAATCAAGACTGCTACCACACCTCCTCTTGGGTTGTTACAGTCCCTCCCTATACCAGATGGAGTATTTGAAGACTTGAGCATGGACTTCATCACTGGATTGCCTCCTTCCAAGGGATTTCAAGTGATTTTGGTTGTTGTGGATAGACTCACCAAGTTTGCACACTTTGGTGCATTGGCCCATCCATTCACAGCTGCTAAGGTAGCCTCTCTTTTCTGTGATATGGTGGTTAAACTACATGGTTTTCCCAAAACCATAGTTTCGGACAGAGACAGTATATTCATCAGTCATTTCTGGTCCACCTTGTTTAAAAATAGTGGAACTACCCTATGGACAAGCACTTCTTACCATCCCCAAAGTGATGGCCAAACTGAGGTCACTAACAGGTATCTAGAGCAATACATTCGAGCATTCTGCCATGAAGAAAATAACAGATGGTCTTTTTACTTAAGTTGGGCAGAGTTGCATTACAACACGGCTGTACATTCTTCCACGGGGATGAGTCCATTCCAAGCTTTATATGGGAAGCTACCCACTATGATACCTCATTACTCGCCAGGATCAGTTAAGGTGGAAGCTGTGGATGCCACTTTATCTCATAGAAATGATTTGTTGGCCAGATTGAAGAAGAACTTGCAAGGGGCTCAAAACCGCATGAAAATGCAGGCTGATAGGCACAGAAAAGATATTACCTTGAAGGTAGGTGATTTGGTTTTGGTTAAACTACAGCCATATAGACAGATTTCAGTGGCCAAGAGATCGAATCAAAAGTTGGCTAAGAGGTACTTTGGTCCTTTTCCTATTATTCGAGTTCTAAGTCCAGTATCTTACCAGTTGCAATTACCAGATGGCTGTAAGATCCATCCTTCATTCCATGTATCCGTACTTAAACCCTTCCGGGGAGATCACCCAGATTTGGTTCCCACATTTCCAGAGTTGAGTCATGATAACTTTCCAATACAGAAACCACTTGCTGTCTTGATGTCTCGTTCTACAGGGAACCATAAGCAATGGTTGGTTCAATGGTCCAATGCTTTACCAGAGGATGCTACTTGGGAAGATGAATCTGACTTGCAGGTCCAGTATCCAGAATTGAACCTTGCGGTCAAGGTTCCTTTACAAGAAGGGGCGAATGATACGATGAGGGTTAGAAGGTTGAAGAGTGCACCCTTGTGGGTTAAGGATTTTAACACTAAGTAACCAGACCATGGTTACTGTTAATAGCATGTAAAATAGGAGGTTAGTTGAATAAGTGATGGGTTGGTTAGTTAGTTAGATGAGATGGCAAATTCTGTTAGAAGTAAGTGTTTGTATATAAACACTACACATGTACAAACGTGGCATTCATTGGAATATACAAAAGTTGTTCTGTTTTTGTGCTTTTCTGTTCTTAAGGGTTCTGCACCCTTAACATAATGTCCCTATTATACTATAAAAATTACTTGTAAGTTTTCTTTTTAACAAAAATTTAATTAAATCTGTTTTTTTTTTGTGGTAAACAATTGAAGCTGTTTTTATTTGAATATATCTGTTTAGATCTAAATGTATTTCAGTTTTGATTTAAATTTAAATGTATTAGTTGGCAGAATGATTTGTATAGTTTATACATCCTTTTATATACGTTACCCTATTTAAGGCTGAACATATTTATGAATAAAACACATCTCTATTCTTCAGGTAAAAACAAATTTTAAATTAGGGATATATAAAATATTTTGCATGCCTTTTTTTATACATATTTTTTTTTCAATAAACAACAAAAATTATAAATACTTTTTTATATATACTTTGGGAAAAGTGTATATACTTTTAAATTACACAACTTACATTCTTTCACTCTCACAAAGAGGTGGGATTTACACTTTTATTTTTTTTGTCAACTCTCTCTCCTCCTTTATCTATCTCTTTCTCTCTCTTAAAATGACACAACTTTACATCTTTTAAAATTATACACACTTTTCCCATATACTTTACTTGCTAACCTTATATATTGTTAGATTAAAATCTCAATTAACTTCATTTTTTTCTCTTAAGATTTTGATCTAACAATATTGAAAAATAATAGATAGAATAAGCATGAAAAAAATAGACATAATATCTTCTCTCTTTAAATTATGTCAATCATTTATGCATCTATCTTAAAATGAGAATAATATCTTAAATTTTAAACTATTTAATATATCATTGATAATAAATATTAAATTGAAGTAAACGTTTTTTTTGGTACAAAGATAAAATTAAGCAAAAATGAAAAAGATAAATTGAACTACATCCTTACAAAAGCAATGCCCATTGCATCAGCTGTGGGGAGCGGCAAGACCATATACGCAAGTATACGCAGCCACAAGTAATATAGTTTGTATTTAAAATTTCAATATCGTTCTCACAAGGATCTTTTTAGCGAAAAAGTACAAAAGAAAAATTGCAATTGCTCAACTAAATTCTAAAACGAAATTAATGTTAAATTGGTTAAACTGAAAAATAAGAGAAATCAGAAATTAATGATCACTCGAAGGTTCAGATTAAAAATTGATGTCAAAAACTTGTTCACTACTGGTATAAAAAAAACAAGAAGTTGAGAAAATAACTTTTCGCATTTTCAGTTTGATGATATTTTCACAAAATTGTAAAGAGTTTGAATGACTAAAAAGAAATCAGAATTGAAAACAAAGACTTTAAGAGTTCTAATTGGAAAAATTTGGGTTGGGTTTTGATTTCTTCCCTACAACTCTTGATGCAACTTACTTAAGAAAAAGAATTTACAAATTATTTTTCCGTTGGCAGACAATTGTAGATCTTTAATCCCTTAAAAATCTTTGTCCCTTTTTTTCTCAAACCACTTATCCCTAAGCTTATGAAAATAAAGGCTTGAAGCTCAGGTCCTCTTAGCCACATGGAGGAGTAAATTCTTTTTCAGAACTACCCCTCAAATAAATCCTTATTTGAGTCCATGAATTCAACTCAGTTTTTAGAGACAAATATTTCCCAATACCCCTCTCCTAACACACATGTAATCCATTCGGCCAAAATAAATACAGCATTCAAATAATAAGCAGAGATGAACTTCGAAAAGTAAACATTCATATCAGAAAGATAAATTGCATCATTCACTATAGTTGGGGTCTCAAACGCCCAACCCTTAGAGAGTCTAGCTCAAATCCATAAGGATTGAGCTAATTAATAGAGATGAAGAAAAACTACAAAAGAAATAGAAATCGCAGAAATATAAAAGCTACAGTACGAATGTTATTCACATAGATAGCTTCGTCAATGTGCTCAACATCCAGAATAACACAACCAGAAATTACAGTATCCAAACATGCAGAAACAACATAAAGAAGGGAAAAAATAGAAGAAGGTCCGAGAGAAAAATTACAAAAGGAAGAAGAAGCCCCTTCTACAAAATTCCTT